GGCCCTTCCTCTCTCTCTCTCTCTCCCTCCCGCTGTCCCGGCGGTCGTCTCCCTCTCGCGCTCTCTCCCTTCTTCCTCCGGTTTACCGGTCTAGCCTTTCTCTCTCCCGCTCGCTCGCTCGCTCGCTCGCCCGCGTTTCACTCGAGCTCTTCGCGGAGGATCTCCGCCGTAAAGTCAGTATCCCGTGATGGTTGGGTACGCGCGAAACCACTCGCGCCGCGTCGTTGACAAGTGAACACGCTCTCGGACCCCGTCAGGCCCCGGCGTAGTGTTTTCACGCGGAATCCGTACTTTTTCTTTCGTTCGCCGTCTCTCCTCGCGTTCCTTTTCCCCGATTCTCCGGCCGCTTTCGGCCCTACGTTACCGTTCCGTGCGGTCCGCGGCGGTCCCGGCATTTAACCGCGTACCTGCCGACACTCGGGACCGTTGGTGCCGGGTCTCCAAAGGACACCGGGAGCGTGGAAAAGTGGTCGGTGCTCGCGCAGCTGTCAGATCCTCGGCCAGCTCGCCTCTTTGTCGTCGGTGCGCCGTGGATTTTCTGTGTACGTATATATTCGTTGCTCGCGCAAGCTGGCGCGCGAGCGGCCGAGAGCGGGCGCGAGCGGGTGCGTCGGGGTTGCACGAAATAACGGAAGCGTCGCTCCGCCAGTATCCTACAGCTGAGATTAGCAGCCCCGGGGCTGAGACCGCTCCGAGAGTTTCTGCGCGAGAATGCTGCTTCCACTGTGCCGTTCGCGGGGAAGTTCGACCGTGCTGCTCGTGATACGCTCGCAAAGATACCGCGAGAAGTAGAAACCCATGAAACTCGGATCACTCGCCCCTTTACTCCGAACCTGGAATTCACGAGAAACTGAGACTCCAAGTCGAATTTCACTTTTAAGTAGCGATATAAATTCCTACGAGTCGAATAGAAGCTACATAGACGATAGGATAGACGGAAGGAAGAAACTTGTATAACTCGAATTCCCGATTGTTAAATTCGCACGCGAAAACTCGAGACGAAACCTCTGCGACTCGAGGATCCTGTGGCTCTCGCGATTCCACTGTATTGACCCTTCATCGACGAACATCGGCATTTCGGCGAGATTAGATGTTCATGTCTGGTAGACCAAGTCGCGAATGAATGATTGAATTACTCAATCAAGAGATCAGTAGTTTTTTTTCGTATTACTTGAGAAATTGTGTAGAATTTAGCTTCGTCTGCCGAAGGTTTTCTATATTCCAAAGCATCTTCGTCCGCGAGGGGTTAATAAACAAGTTGTTCATTACGCGAGGTATTTCCATTATTTCGTCCAACCACTGTAGACGCGCGATGCACGTACGTGTGTACATTCGTGTGCGTACGCGGTGTGCACGCGTACTCGCCACGGGAACACGTATAGACCCGGCTCGTACCGTACAACTTGTTCCTACGGCCTACGTAGGTATTATGCCCGAAGACCCGTTGGCTCCGCGCGTTTCGCGTTGCTCAATTTCTGCGAAAACCGCCGCCCCGATCCTCCTCGATCGACGGATCCGTCGACCTCTCGCCTAGCCAACTCGCTTCAAACCGAACGCGCCTGTTCGCGTTGTTTAACCGTTTGATCGTTATTATTCTTTGCAAAAACTCGGTCGAAAAGTGCCGGGCGGTCACGCTTCTTTCGTTTCGGTTCAGAAATTGAATGACGCTCTTCTATTTTAAATGGAAAGATTATCAATAGCGCGATCGTTCCGTTTTTCCATTGATCGGGTGATAACAAAGATGAAAATAAATAATTAAAAGACAAATGGATAAAGTTGCACGGACAGTGCAACGGACGCTTGCCACTCGAAAGGTCAACCGAAGCTGCGACCTTTGTTTCTATTTATCTCAATCGTTTCTTCATTTTTTAACAACGTTTCATTCAATCGTCGAATCATGTTCAAGCCAACCGTATCTTCGCAGTTCTCCAAAATGATTTGCAGTTCGAAAAATATCGACTCGTCAGGAAAATTGAACGAAGAGCCACAGGAATCGTGACAAGCTCGGAATCGTATTGGGAAACGTTGTCAGCATTTTTACAGCGAACGGCGATCGACTCGATTCATTGAGAGGAATCGCTGAAAGAAACGTTCGACTCGATTTCAGCGTTTCGTTGGGTCACGAGCGAAGGAAAAGCGTGTGCAGATTTTCCCGAGATCCTTCGCTCTTGTACAATCGCGTACGCAACGGACGCGTAACAATCGGCGCGGCCTAGTAACGAATCACTATTGTAATTGTCAGTGAGAAAGGACCGAGGAATGTCTCGGTAACGCGGGCTAACGAACAGGTGATTCAGGCAGCAGGTAAATGTTTTGAAATAACAAGAGTAGCGGCGGGATCAAGTTCAGTGGATGCTTGTGAACTCGAGCCGTGCGTGTATGCTCGAGCGCCGTCTCGTTTGATCCGCGTAGCAATACGAACGCACCGCTCGTTCGCCGTGGCTTCGTCGACGATGGGAATTGTTCGAATTAACCCTTGGCACTCCAGGTTGTTTTGTAATCTATCAACAGCTGCAACGAATTTTTATGGTATCTCGAGTGAAAATGAAAAATGCTTAACATTACCTAACCAAGACCTAACCGATATTCTGATATTTTGCGCTCCAAAGTTTTATAATATTTTTTATAACCTATCGGTTCGTTTATCTTAGCTACCGATCATATTTTCGCGAAAGGAATATTGGCGATTACTAGTTTAACGCTTGGCACTACAGATGGTTTTGTAATTTATAAGCAACTGCAACGAATTTTTATGGTATCTCAAGTGAAAATGAGAAATATAACATTTCTTCGATCTTTTATTTTCTTTAGTACAGAATTTGGATGTGTGCAAAAACTAATAATTCTAGGGTAGTTTCTTTATGTATTGAAATATTTAATATTATAACTAGTGCGATATTGGAGCCTACAGAATCCAAAGGGTTAAACGCGAAAATTGGAGCATCGGGAAATTCAACGAACGAAACACCCCATGAAAATCTTAGGCAATATCACTATTTATGCTTGTTATTGTTGTAACATATGAAACGTTTGATTTTGGTTGATCATTTTTGTTTTGTGACGATGATAGACTACATGTGTCGCAATGAACAGTGTGAAAGTTGAACACGTTAACACCAGAACTACCGAATGGGTCAAAATGACGCACTCCTGATTTCATTTTCCCCGGTTTTTCAACAGATAACGGACACTTCTTCGAGAAAGTACTAGAGGAACTGATTTGGCAATACACAAACTGAATTGCAAACCAACCGACGTCTCAATAATTACACTGTTGAGGTTTCTACAGAAGAATTCCAAATAGACAATTTAACTGTAGTTCCAGTGTTAAACCATGAAACTTCACCTCATTCTCTATATTTATCGGATCTATCACGGATTTTCACTTTTCTCGACGTTTAAGTCGCATCCTCGAAGAAATCTTCACTAAAACTGGCAACTTGGAGTGCGTAGAACCCAATAATTGTTACCTCGACGATAAATATTGGTTACTAAAGAATTCGTGTTGACTTGAAGGCTAAAATTCGGACATTTCGTGTGTTACAACCTATCATAACGGAACTTTCCAATCGGCGTGTAAAGTCAGCCGGTTTTTTTCTCCGGTTTCAGCGGCGGAACGCTTGCATGCCACGGACCAAGTCATCGATAGAAATGATAAACGAGCCCGCGATGTAACTCGAATTTAATTACTCGCGATGATGAAAGCGGCAGATTTGAAAGTGGTTCCGTTCGGTCGCGGGGGGTGTAATTGCCGCTATCGATCGGACGGCTCCAATAATCGCGTTTCTCACGATCTTCTCGTCGATATGTTCGATAAGGACAATCTTTCGGACAAACGACAAAGAGGAGCGGAGGATTTCGTTAACTCTTTGCTCTCGAATGTTTTTCATTGAGAACGTATCTAAATTAAGAACCAATGCTATTTTATTCGAGTATTTCGCGTATCGATCCATCGCACGAAGCTCGATGCTTTACAGAAGACTCTCGAAATTCGCTGTATTGAATGAAACGGTGACAGAGAGTGACCTCGGCTGCAAAGGGTTAATAAATTGGCACGATGCGTGGAACGGTCAAACGCGATCGTCGGAACGACGCGACACGTATAACTCCTGCTGCAAACGGTGTCGTGTCTGTTGGTAAAGCGAGCCTATTACATATTTACGGGTACACGCGACGGTATAAGGTTCCGAAACACGTGTAGTGCATAAATAAAGAGAGACGCTGCGTGCCCGTATACACGCGTCCGCGGATTGTGGGGGACAATGGGAAATGTGGCCGAATTTAACCCCTTGCCTTCTAACAACGTGTCGGAGTGGCGAAGATTCTGAAGGAAATTTGACGAGCGTGCATATTACTCGTGAATTCAAATGAAATATTCTTCCGTTATTAACAGATTGCGTACCGGCTAGTTTTCAGGAAACTGAATTGTGCGGATGGCAATTTTCAATGAGGTCAACTTATATCGCTATACATAGAAAAACTCAGATATCATATTTTTATGTAATATATTTTAAATAGATAATCAATTCGAATCAAATTTTATATTTTCTTCAACGCTGTGGTAATTAGCGAAGTTGCGTAGCTAAGTGTCCTTATGAAAAAACGAGATTTCTCGTTACCGGTACGCAGTGTAATAATTCTACTTTAAGCCAAACAAAGGCGTAGGATCGTAGAATTTTTGTTTTCCCAATAAATTACTAAAGCTTTTGAATTAGTAAGATATGCTTAGAATTCCTTCGTTCGATAAATCATCAATAGCAAAGTAACCGTAATGATGGCAGATCAGAAGTAAATAGGGCAAGGGGTTGAAACACTCAAAATTCTAACGGAGATCTCGGAATAATAAAAAAATCGAGAAACCGCGATCGACGGACCGCCGATCCCGCGTCGCGCGCAAATGTTTTATTGGACAACTCCGCGAGGCGGTAATTAAACGAGGATCCGTTTGGCTTATTAGCGGCCGGGCTATCTTATTATCTGTTATCCCCTGATTACCATGTATCGCGGACAATCCGGTATGCCGTAAACGCATAAAATCCACAATTAAGCGATTACTCACGGAATCCCGATTTTATCGATCGTTAAGGGAGCAGAGATTTCCTTCGATTAGGAGGAGAGCCGCGCCTTTTCCAATCTCCCCCCCCGAAGAAACTGAATTCTAATTTGCCAAAGAAGCCGGGAGTAATTACTCAAATTGAGCATTTAATGTACTTTCTCTGGATCGCTCGGCCGTGTTCGCGCGTGCACACGTGCGCCGGAACGCGCGCTCGCGTTCGAACAAATAAATACGTAACCTGGAATGCGAAATCCGATTACCTCGAAATCGCGGGGAATTCGAGTTTCACGCTACCGAGGTTCGACCGGATCGATTTCGCATTTAAATCCACCGATCATTCGAACGGTGAGTTACGCTCGCGGAAGTTAACGACGGAGGATAATTAGCTTCTTGCCTCGCGGTGTCAAAGCCAGTTATGGTAGACGTTGGTCTCAATTATTCATCTTTCGAACGCCTTCGAAGAATCACTAATCTAGGACGGTAATTCTATCATTTCGATATTATTAATCGTAGAATCGAATTCTATGACCTTTTAACATGAACTCAATGCTTATTCGCAACAGAAATCTCCGGAAAATCATGCAAATGTCACCGGTAAACATTACTTTCCCAGTCTCAACTGTCAATCTTTGGAGCGCGTTCGAAGAATCACTAATTTAGAACGATAATTCTACCGCCTCGATGTTACCAGTCGTAGAACCAAATTCTATAGCTTTCTAACAAAATTATAATACCTATTCCACAGCAGAAATCCGCAGAAAGCTCGTCAGTATTCTCCATCGCTGAAGCAAACCGAAAGGTTCGAGGTAAAGTAAAAGAAGGAACGTATTTAAATTTCAAATGAGTTCTCGATTAAAGTAGAAGCCGTCGAATGAGTTTCCACGTGTACCGCGAGACAAGGGGTTAATAAATTCCCGGCGTAAAGCTGGCATTGATCTTCGACGCGGCGATTTCCGGTTCCTGGGAGACGGTTTCGCTCGGAACGGCGGCGAGAGGTTCGAGCTGCGCGGCAGGCATCGCTGGGAACCGATTCCCCCGCGAGACGGATAACGCAGAAACGGGTTTAAGCGTGAAAGTAATTGAGGAAGTGGATGAACAGACAAGCTGCCCGTGTTCTGCGCGAGCCTGGAACGGTATACGCCGCTGGAAAATCGGCGAGCGCTCTCTCGCACCCGAGGAAACCGCGCCGGAGACACCTGGACGCTCGAAAGCCGCAACAATTTTCGCCCGGTTGCTTGCCCCGCGACTTCATTTATCAGTTTATGCAAATTCGCCGCTTCCCCGGCGAAAACAGAGAAAAACGCCGCGGATAAGTTCAGCGTACCGCTTTCAGACTGGTCTGGCTGGCTCTAGCATGATTAACCGATGAGCCGATCGAACGGCGCGCTCGCTTTTCGTTAATCCCGATTGACAAGTGCGATCAAGATACTGCGCGAGATTAAGCCGGCACTAATCAAAATACTTTGAATTTTTATGTGTCCCGGGGGAAATTGAGAATCTGACATTCCGCGGAATGCGCACGATAAGCGGAGACAGATAAATATTCGGAGCGTAGCGGTTTTTATCGGATTTATTGACCACTTACGTCGGAAAGACGCGCTGGGACGCGTTGTTTTCGTTGGAAAATCGCCAACGATACATTATGCGCATGTTCTAGATTATTTCGAAACCTTCTATCCGGTAAAAAAACGATTGATAAACAAAATTAGTACATACCTGTGTATAACGAGAAGACAAAATTCTTTGTCTACCACCGCAAGTGGTTAAGGAAAACCTTCATTCTAATTAGTTTCCGTTGCCAAAAATATTCTGTCGCTTAATCATTACTTAAAATATCGATCGCAGTTGAAATATGAGTCAAGGTTAATACCGTCGACTCGTCGATGATAACGCGAACGGTAACATCGAAGCTAACTTAAGCAATTCTACTTAGAAACGAAGCGTTTCGCGAACACAGCTAAAACCAGCGAAACCCGAAAAACACCGTGGACCCTCGGTCGTAAGGACCACGAAAGAGCGGCTTTAAATTTCGAAAGAGAAGCGAGAAACGCGAGAAAAAGAGGAGTATCCAACGATATACATAAATACGGTGGTCTGTTCCAGGGAGCGAGTGATGGCCCTGCGTCTGAGGAGCAGCAAGGATGTCAAGAAGAGCTCGTACTACGTCTGGTACTTGGGCGCGAGGGAGGCCAAGGGGGTGGACGCGATGCCCGGTGCCATAGCTTACCTGCTCGAGCGGGAACGGCTTCAGGAGCCTTTCAAGGTCACGCTGCAGGTGAGCGGTACCATTCCCGGGATCCGGTTTCTGGCCCCGGCACCGCCGAAAATACCGCGAAAACGAGAATTAATTGTCGCCGCGACTGCTGGTGGGGCGCGATCGGGGACGCGTGGGCGGGAAACCTTTCAAAAACTCCTCGAATCGGGAATACTTCGTCATCGAGTGTACTAGTTTACCCTTTGCACTTGGGACGCGAGCCTCGATTGCTTCATTGCAATTGTAAAGTTTGATATTTTATTTGAAACTTGACGCGTCAGTGAGATATTGAAACGAAATAGCTTTGCTCCTTGACGCGTTGAATGCTGCGGAAATTTCATTCATATTTTGCTTATGAACTGTATTGATTTTTTACATAAAATATTGTTATATTCAAGTTTTTTTTAATTTTATATATTTTGATATCGTTTCTTGGTGTTTTCGGTGCTTTCTAACGTGTACAGCTATTCTTGACCATGTGTCCCTTAAAAATATTTTTTTAACAAAATTAACGTGTACCACATGTGGTACCAGAGACTTGAATATAACTTATTATTTTATTGAAAAATTCGGTACAGTTCATAGGCAAAATATAACCGAAGTTTCCGTGGCAACCTCTACCTGTTTTAACAATTTTTTCTATATATATTTGTAGTATCACAATCGTACCATTTAACCCTTTGCGGGCGAAGGTTCTTTGAAATGTACAAAACCTTCAACAGATGGAGCTAAATTATATATCAATTGCATAATTGATGGAACAAAAGGAAACTACGCGCTGATCTCCTGCTGTTTGAGTAATTAAATCATTCTTTTGTGACTTAGTCTTCGAAATATGAAAATTTCATCTCGCCGGAACGTCGACATTCGTCCGCAAAGGGTTAAAGGTAATATTTCAATGACTCCTAAATATTCTTGAATGAATAAATAGAGCGTCATATTAAGCTGTAATTGAATGAACTAACGTCGAGGTGAGCCTCAAACTGAGAAACCAACGGTTAACCCTTTGCAGTCGATACTTTTTATTAGAAATATTCATTAATTTCTAACTAAATATTAACGATACTTTACGCAGCTGACAGGATTGCTTATCTTATAGAAATTAAGACACACAACTGTTTTACTTCGACGTTTTTCTTGATACCTTACACAAGGTTCAATCTCGAATTGAAACTTAAATTCGCTCGAATCAGATGAAAAGGCTCTCTGCAAGGGCTCTCTACAGATTCACGTGAGATTTCGCTTCAAGTCAGTCTCGAGAAATATTACAGCAGCGACTGCTCAGTAATACATCGGCAACCTTCGATTTTCGTTGCGCGAATAGTCGAATTTCGGGGTTTTGTCCAGAGGCAGCCAAACTGCGCGTTTCCAGGCTCGCGCGAGCGACCGTCCACGGCCAGCAGTGAAAGCAGTCCGCGGATCGAATAAAAATCACGAATTTATGACCTCAGCCTACATACCGAAATCGCCCAGGCCTCGACCTGCTCACGGGAGACGCTTATCAGCTTCCCCGCGGAACGCTCGTAACTTTTCCCTCGAAATTGTCTACTGCGCGGGGGAGGAGGTGGTCGAGGAACAGGTAGACAGGGGGGCGGGACGTTCCCTTGGTCCTCGGGAGGGCGACCTTCCCGAACTTAAACCCGTCCGCGCGATATGCAGATTTTATGCACCGACTTCTGGCTGTGTTTTTTACGGTGGGCCTGCTCTTTCCGATGAATATCGATCCGGTGTCTTGTTTCGGGGGTTGGTCCCTCGTTCGCGGGCCCCGCGAGCCTCCGGAGAGGATTCAATTTCGAGATTAGGTTTCTTTTATAGGTTTTGCACTCCAGATTCGGCCTTCTGCACGTCAAGCGCATACTTCTAGATATACATTTAATTTAACACTAGAACTACCGAGCATTTAATACGATTAACCCTTTGCGCTCGGAAGTTTTTCACTTGGAATATTCAATACTCTCCAATTAGATGTAGACAAGATTCTTTAAAATGAATTTATCAAGAAATCATAAATTAGGTAACGAAGCTGCTTTCTTCTAATATTTCACGTATTGATGCAGTATAAAGTTCAATGGTAAATACAGAAGTTTATAATTTCACTGTATCAAATCATCTCGCGCCTGGGAGTCGCCTCTCGAGTGCAAAGGGTTAATATGTAATCCCTATAAAAATTGTAATAATTGATTATTATCAATTTCTTCAGACATTATAGTATTCAAGTGAAACTATTTACTTTCAAGATCATTTCGAATATTCAACGCTGTTAAGATATGAATAATTACGAAATAAAATCGTTGAAACCAGTCATTTTGACTGATAGTTCTAGTGTTAAAAGAATGTGAAAGGTCAATCGGTTAGCGAGAACTCAAACATTCTATTACAAACAGGTGGATTACAAGTTTACGTAAAAGTAATTACCGATTCATTAAAGTTAGAATATATCACGTATGCAGTATCCTCGGTAATTGTGACAGAAGACAATCAGGAATGCGGAGCTTCGATCCAGTGGTTACACGCGAACCACGTTACGAATCGATTAACCTTTCGCATTGGAGAAGTGAACCTTATTCGCCGCTCGATATGATACAGCAAAATTATCAACCACGTGTATAATGTGTACCAGTCTTCAAGTAATGCATCGATGTGTGAAATATTGGAATAACGTAGCTCTATTGTTCCACTTCTGTATATCTTCCGATTAGTTTCAAAGAATGTCACCTGTATCTGATCAGGATACGCTGAATATTTCTAGCGGAAAACTTCGGAGCGCGGAGGGTTAACTGTATTCTACTTTCACAATCGGCCGCACGCGCAGTACGCATCGAAATCTTCACGCTGTCTGATCCGCACGCTTCAGACTCCACCCCGAAGCTGCTGGTACGCTTTAATTGCGGTTTTCCACTGAATTAATGCCCAAAGGAATCCGTAATTGGCTAAGATGCACCACTTTGTTGAACCTATTCGCGGCTAATTTCTCGGGATGTATACTTTATTGTAACATTATCGTTGTTTAACTGTACCCCGGGCTTCACAATCGACGGTACGCGCAGTACGCATCGAAATCTTCACGCTGTCTGATCCGCACGCTTCAGACTTCACCCCGAAGCTGCTGGTACGCTTTAATTGCGGTTTTCCACTGAATTAATGCCCAAAGGAATCAGTAATTGGCTAAGATGCACCACTTTGTTGAACCTATTCGCGGCTAATTTCTCGGGATGTATACTTTATTGTAACATTATCGTTGTTTAACTGTACCCCGGGCTTCACGAGCGGCCGCGCGCACCGCAGTCGTTGAAACTTCCACGCTGTCTGACTCCTGGCTCTCAGACCGCGCTACGCGTGCTCCGGTATGAATGTTTTAATTGATTCTTTCGCTGAACTCTCGTAATAGAATCCGTGAATAATAACCATTGTTCTATCGACTAGTCGATGGAAGAGATTCAGCTTCGTACTTGGTTTCGCCGTCTCTCCACGCAGAGCACGAACGTTAACGCGTTGGCTGCCCGGTGTAAGTACTCATCGAAATTCCACGCAATTAAAGCATTCTTAATGAAACGGAAGTCGAGAAGTTGTGGTCGGAACGGGAGGCACTCGAACAGTTAACCCTTCGCGGACGAAGATTCTTTGGAATGAAGAAAACCTTTCGCAGGTGAAACTAAATTATATATCGACTGTTTAAATAATAGTAAATAATTAAAGATTTCTTGCTGTTTGATGAATTAAATAATTTGCGACTTAGTATTTCGGACGTGAACATTTCCTCGGAATGTCGACATTCGTCCGGAAAGTTAATCTTTTACATTCGGAAGCCTTTTTCGCAGACATGCTCACCATTTTCTAATGATACATTAATGGTACTTTTCTCAACTAACATAATTACGTATAAAATACGAACAAAGGGATAGAATGATCCCAACATTTCATTTATAATTACATTATACGAGTATTACCATCGAATATCGAAAGTTGCAGTTTCACTACGAAGTTGTGACTGCAAGTCGCCTCTCGACCGTAAAGTCTTAATTATATTTCAATCGCTTAATCGATGATCGTCGCCGAGTTAATCGTTAAAACGAAGAAGGATGAAGATTAAGAAATATTCGTCGCCAACGCAGCTCAATCTTCTCGCGTCCGATAGGCACAGCGAAATAAACGAACGGTGACACTCTAATTCGAGCGACGCAGTCGAGGCATCGATAAGAGTTCGATCGGGCGACATCGTTCAATTAGCAGGCGCGCGACGGCAACGGCGTGTACTAATTAAATAAGCGCGATAACAAATTCGCTGACCTGAATCTTACGGAAACGAGCGCGCCGCTAATACATCCGGCACGGTTCGATTATGGGAAAGAGAAAACGGAAAACGAACCGCGCCGAAATCGTCCCGCGACCGTTAATCCGCCGCGCCGCATCGCGGCCGTCGTCCCCGTTGCGTGCCAATCAAAATTCGCCGAGCGAGGGTCGCATGCCGACTCGAAAACGCCTCGTTACTTTGCTGTTCCGGCCGCATCGGACAATTTTCCGGCATAGAAACGAACGGTTCTCCTCTTTGCGTCGCGTTCTGGTTACCGAGTCGACTCAATATCGACGCGTCACACTTATTAACCCTTTATCGACAAATGTCGACGCTTTGGAGAGACAAAATATTCATATCTGGAATACTGAGCTGCAAATGATTCGATTACTTGAATAAGAGATCGGTGTACAGCTTCCTTTTTTTCTATCGTTTAAGCATTCGATGTGTAATTTAGCTTTGTATGCAAAGAGTCTTCGTTCGCGAAGTGTTTAACCTTCGCACTGGAGTTTCTAACTGGAAATAATCAGAATGACTCTATGACACTTAGACGATATTTGTTTGAAACCAAGTTACAATGATCGATGCGACTATGTCATTGAGAATTTCTCGGAAGGAGAAAGATTCTAGGCATTTTCTGTTTGTTCGCTTTTAAGTATAACGATCGATTGCAGAAGAATATTCACGAGCCTAACGTGTTCTCATAAGAGATTAGAAAAATATGAACTGTCCCAGTTAGTAGCAGTTAAAGAACAAATTGGCTTCCCAACCTCGCCGATTCGAGCTCCGAAAAACACGTTCCTAGCGAGGACCGCGTTCGCCAACGCTCGCGGAACAAAGGTGTCTTTATCAATGAGCAGAGATCTCAATGGACGCGTCTCTCCTAAACGCGGGCGAAAACGAAGCAGAAAACGTTGCGAAATCCCGGGGGCCCGCCTAATTATTGTGTAAGTATAATTGCCGGCGGTGCGACGCTCGCTTCTCGCCTTGCGAACGCTTTAGCGCCCCGAATATCCGCGGGGCTGCCTTAATGAACCGACGCAGCACGGGCGAACCGTGAATTACGCGCGCGATTCCCTGCGGTCGCCTCCGTTGCAACCGCAAACGATCACCCGCCATTTTGGAGAACGCGCGCCTCGCGAGCCTCTCTAGTTTTGTAACCCGCGGACGGTTTTCCGCGCAGCCGAGACGAGTCCGGCGCGCGCAACGCCGCGAACATGCAAAGAAGTTCCATGGAAGACGCCTCGGGGCGGAGGACTTTCGGGGATTTCGTAACAATTTCAAAAGAATCCATCGCCTCGACCGTTTCCCCGGCGAGCGGAGATTCTTCTCCGCTTTCTCCGAAGCAGATTTACGCGCCGGCTTCGCCTTTCTTCGTAGAATTTCATGTATCTCTCCTCCGGACGCGGCGCGCGGATACTTTATTCTCCGTTGATCGATCGACGACATCGAACACCTCGGGGAAGCTAACGAACCGCCGGTCCGCGAGTCATTTCAAACGTCTCGGCCGAGTAACGAGCCGACTATCGATGCGGTCAGCGTGCGCCCGTACCTAAAAGCTGAATCGTAAAACAGAGAAAGTACTATTTTTCTGATACCGTGTTCACTTTCATCGTTCCGCGGCGGTTATTATTATTTGCTTTCGAAAAGGAAATTGCGTTTTTTACGGGCCCGGGGGCGGGGACACGGAGCATTGTTCTGTGAAAAGACTTTCCTCCTTAATGATAAATGGGCCACGGTCATCGGCGGTGGCCAGGTTTTCCAGTTGCTGAACACCGGAACGCCACGCTCCTCGCGTACCTCGTATTCGTGCTGATCGGTAATTCGATTTAACTACCGAAATTAGCGGCTGCTTTTCCGATTCCGCTCGGGTCTACCCGTTAATCCGTCGATCGTGTTCCACGCGGTCTGAAGCTGCGCGCTCGAGCCGCTTATTAGCCGCGGAGGACGCGTTAATTCGTCATAGACGAGTTCGTGTCTCGATGCCTTTTACTGATCTTTCCCGATCGTTCTCGCTTGTGTTTCTGATTACGCGTGCAGATTTCAGTGAAACCCATTCGATGGATCACCGTGTCGACGTAACGACGCTGAAACCGTCGAATAGTCAGACTGACCTTTGTTCACTTTATTACAGACATTCGAATTGTAATTAATTAGCAATTCAATCGGAGTATTAACCTCTTGCGTCGAAAACACGTGCCAAGTGTGACAGTTTTTATCCCAAACTTGTAATAAACAAAATTAGTGTGCGCGTCCGCGTGAAATTCTTCGCGCAGCACTTTGCCGAATCTCTGAATTCATTTCCAGCAAGAAGTTAATGAATCAGTTTCCTCGGTCGTGTCTCGCAGAAAGCATCTGACTGTTCAACAGTTACAAAGAAGCCATGGGTGATGGGTTCCTTTGACCTGTCTAGCGGGGCTAACGTTAAAACGGGCCGCGGAAGGTCTGACGGCTCGTGTTTTCACGAGATCTTGTTTTATGATCGCCAGGTGAGCAACAAGGGACTGAAGATCATACAGACGGTTCATCTGGGCGGCTCGACGAGGTCGGCTGTTAAACATTTAGTGCCAGGACATGCGGTGCTGGCGGCCGTCCAACGGGAGGACGTCGTCGCGGCGACTCTTCTGCTTCCGAACCCGGCCACCAACAATCCCGTGCACGTGCACGCTTACAGGTCAGTATGGACGCAATTAATCACCGTCTTGCTCAACCCGTCGAGCACGAGGTGTCTCTAATTTAACGCGTATCCGGCCGAATAACGAAAATTCGCCATGGTCCGAACAATGGACGTTTCTTATTCGCATGTTGTAGCGAATAAATTATTCGTGGTTTTAAGAAACTAAATATTTAGCAGAGAGATATTACTGGGAACATATATGTTAAAAAGTGCGGGCTAGATGTGCGTAACAATGGCGACTGGTTGCACTCGAAATTTCAAACATGGCCGACCGACAGTGACGAAGAGGACCGCCATTTTGAAACGCAGAAACATCGGATTCCTTTTTGCCTATAACTTTCTAACGCGAGTACGCTTAACGAAGCACATTTGTTTAACTTGTCGACACATCAGGAACGTTAGCTAGAAATTGAACAACTGAATAATCGAATAATTGAACTTGAATACTTCAAGTTCAACTATTGCTGTATTTCGCAAACATTCCAATGCATATTCATAGGTTACATCGACGCGGTTTGTTCCGGTGTAAAACGCTCGATCTCCAGATTCGCGACCCCCGTGCTTTCCAGTTCAATTAAACCGTCAAGCAAAGCGTCGTAACCCGCGAACAGTTCGCACAGCCTAATAATAGATATTAATTCTAATTAACGGACAATTACGCGCCGGCTAACTACACCGCCGGGTTCTCAGATGATTCCACGACGCGTTGATTCGCGCTGGCAGGACTCATTAGTCGGGCTAACTCGTTAAAGATCCGTTCCGCGCGTCGTCAAATCGCTCGCAAAATGCTGCCGAGAAAGGAAAAACGATTTTTCCATCGTTCACGGAGAAAATAAAGTGAAAATCGATTTCCACGGCTGCCTCCGGCCTCGATTCCTCGGCAGCGTTCGTTAACATCGGAACAAGAGAGAGATCAAACCGATTAGTCTCCACCTTTTTCTAGAGACTAGGAAAAAACTGAATATTCTAGTTCTCCGGCTACACGTTATATCAATTTATACAATCGACTGTTGTACGTTTTCACAGAAAAGTAGGAACGCGTTCATCGAGATTTCAATTGGCTTATATTTCCAGGCGTCGATGTCGATTCATTCGAAGGTCCCTGAGAAAAGCGACCGCATATTTTCAATAATAATATAAAGAAGAAATCGGCGATGAGTCGTTCCGAGCCATCTGGTATTTCTAACGTTAATTAGCGAAGCGATTCTAACGGATCGTTAATAACCGCGTTCGTGTACGATAATGGGGAATGGCGCTTGCCCGCGGGAACAGCCTTGCCATTGAAAACAAAATTAGCAGCGTTTCCATCGGTTCCGTATCCGATCCGTGGGAGAAAAAGAACAGCTTTTCCGTCGCGTAATCGGGAATTATACAATGCGACCGGCCGTATTGAATTGAATATGGACGCGCGCGCCGGTAGCGAACGCTCGCGATCGGAACCAGGTAAATGGCTCGCCGTTACCGGGTGATAGTTCGGTGACCGCGATTTCTTACCGAGTTCACGGGGGAATAATAAAGGTCGTTGATTACGCGATCCGCCTGCGATGCCGCGGCGATAATTGTGCCTGATTCGAAACGGTAAGACCTCCATCGGATCGGATGCAGGCGGATCGGAGGATGAATTCGTCACAGCGATGCGCGAAATACGTTCCGATGTCGATTCGAATGAGAAATTCTAGACCCTTTGCACGCGGAATTTTTCAATGGAAATTCTTTGAAACTGAGTAGTGAGAAAACAAGCGGAAATTAAGCAATCTTGATTTGAAGATTTGAAACAAATCGGATGCAGGCGGATCGGAGGATGAATTCGTCACGATGGGCGAAATACGTTCCGATGTCGATTCGAATGAGAAATTCTAGACCCTTTGCACGCGGAATTTTTCAATGGAAATTCTTTGAAACTGAGTAGTGAGAAAACAAGCGGAAATTAAGAAATCTTGATTTGAAGATTTGAAACAAAGGGAAATGTGAGCCAATTGAAATTTCGGTAAACGAACGTTTATAGTTCTCGTGAAGAAAGAGTCAGATTAAGTCGGTAGTTCTCGAGTTAAATCGCAGAACATTCTTATTCGACGCCACGATGACTAAGGAATATGGAAATATTCTGTAATTAGCCGGTTGAACGTATATTAAACACGTTAGAATTGAGTCCTCGATGTTTCTCACTTCAGATGCGACTCGGTCGAGACGGCCGAGCTGTTAGGCGGTCAGCTGAAAGCGCTGGCGTCACACTCGGACAATTTGGCCAGGGTCACCTCGCTCGAGGGCAGAGTTCGCAGCAATTTAGGCAGCGACGGCAGGAGCACCAGGGAATCCGAGTCTTCCGAGGGCAGCGGCGAGCTCAGACACGATCCCGTCCAGACTACGACGATATACGAGTCGCTGGCAGCCGAATTGCGCGCGAAATTAGGTACAACGTTTCTCAAACGTTTCTCGACGATTTAATCGCATTATTCCCACCCATAGTGTTCGAATACATGCAAAAAGCAATCGAACCGATGTCTAACTATCTTCATTTCTTATCGATTCATCTGCAAATCTTAACTTTTCACGCTCGAAACTCTCTTCGCCGCGTACACTCATTACTTTCTAACAAAATTTCGAATGATTCATTCAATTAACCAGTTAACTGTGGAATTTAGTTGGGAAAACCTCGTTCTGCGCGCTATAAAATCGAAAAATGTAGCGTGTACTCGAACGCAGAAAGATCAAAGCGAAACAAAGAATTACATGTTTATGTGAAAAAATCAAGAATTCATCGCTGAAAGAATTAGTCTTATGTCAAGCTTTACAATGACGTGTATACTCGTCAAACACAGTTAACTGGTTAAACGGTAATAACACGCGAATCAACGAATAGAACAGTTTCATTCCAATAATTCTATATAATACAAAGCAGAAAGGGTGAACACAGTCAATATTTCAGGTTCGCGAATCGAAAAATCGGTAGATCAGAACTTGTTTTCAGGATAACTTTAATCCGCTTTTATTTCTTTCAGTTTAAAGTGTATCGCCGGTGCGGATTACGCGGATCGAGGGGTGCAGTAACGGTAGAAAGATCCGCGATCCAGCGACAAGTGAAAGATATGCTTCCCATTGTTCCAGGCAGGGGGAATTCAGGTGACAACGACGTCGGCCCGATCCTGTTGCCGCCCCGGGATTACGACACGGTCCACAGACACCGCGGCAATCTGGCCGGCATCGAGTTCAGGCGGTGTCTAAATCAAACGATCGTGGGTGGCAGCACCACGGTTGACAGAGGCGGCACGAGGAGCGCTGCCAGCAGCGGAATAGGTTCGGACAGCGCAGCTACGCCCCCGCCTTATCAGAGCCATCATCCTCTGGGCCCGAGACCGTCCAGACCTTCCAGAGATTCCTCCTCGGGTGAGTGGATTACGTCAGTGCTCGATCGCGGATCTCGGCTCGATCATCGATCCTCTCCTCCCAACCACCTAACCCGCGCGTTTCTTCTCGCGATCGCGAAACCACCGCTGAAACCAGAGACGACTTTACGACACTTGCGTCTCTCGATGTTTCTCGCTTCCCGTCAGCCCTTCGCACCCCGAGAGATCACTCAAGGAAAAGAGAAACGTAGAAATCTGCTTTCGAATGAAACTAAGATATTTTCGTTTTCGAAAAGTGATCTTCAAGTTGGTACGTTGCGATAAAATGGTAAATTGTAGTGTAGTAGAATTCAAGTCATTTCATTACGATTCGAAGGGAAATAAAAATGGAGACAAAAGAATTCCAAGCATGGAGATTTGGAGTACCTTGTAGTAGGCTTCTTCTAATCGTGTTATTACAGTGATACAAAAAAAAAGAATTTCCAGATATGTACTGTAACGTGCATAGATTTTTATATCTGGCCCTCTTCTCGTCGGTCGGCATTTGTGATTCGACACGGCAAAATTAGAAAGTCCGGTGTTCAATGTTAAACTTTCGAATATTCAGATAAATTAGGATTGCCCCCTGATTTATTTGGAATACCTAGACGTGGAAGGATTCTTTTCATCCGAATCGTTAACGACGAAGTGGTTCTATGGAGTTTGAAAAGGAATCGCGGCGGTTCCGAAGAATATAGATACGGACATTCCTCGGCGACGTATTTTTGAAAAACACGCGAGCCGCAGGAATTTCCTTGGCGCGACTGGTTTTCGGCGAGAAATTCAGCGATAAGAAGCTCGTCCGACGGCGTTTTACGCTCGGAAACGCTGAGGCAGGCTTCGAAGAGGCTCCGAGGTGTCGCAACGGACGATCTGAGTCATCGACGAACGCGGAACGCGAGGAGTTTGCTCGAAGTTGCCGAATTTCTCGGCCGATCGGCCGATATTTATTTTCTCGCGCTCAGCGATTCCGTCGCGGGTCGTTCGGGGAATGATGTCACGTCGCGCGCGAGACGTCGACGGAATTTCGAAGGCGAAACGGCCGACGGATTGCGACATCTCGTCGGCGACTCGACGATCGTGTCCGGGGCAAGTGTGAAACTTCTCGCGGACGAGAGGCCGCTCGCGGGCAGGCGAGCGAGAGCAGAATTCACCGTGACTGCGATGCAAATGGCGTGTCGTTGCTCGACGCCTCGGATCGGCACGCCACGGGCATTGTTGTCGCTGCCGTGCCTCGTTATGTCAACCGAGGCGCGAGCATTCTTCGCGGCATGACGCACATCTAATCATCGGTGCGATGAATTACCGCTTTCGTGCTGGAATTAATCAAATACCCCGCTGCGTGGGATACAATTATCGCTCGGCAGGTGCCGGCGATTTGCGCTCCCAGCGATCCTCCGATTCTCCGTCCATCCGATCGATCTTCCACTAAAGTCTACCTAATTCATCTGTGCTCGAAAATCCCTCCAATGTCTGTGGAATAATTCGACGTTTCCATCGATCGACGATCCGTAGAATCTTCCAGAGCGTTCCGTTGTTGTGTTGCGTAACGAAAACGCGGGTGAGAAAAGAAAGAGTTCGAGGAAGGTTCGCCCGGTGCTCCGAGAAAGACGATTGTCAACTGTCGCCTAATTGTCCCGCGGGAAGTGGTCCAACGGCCGTTCCCCTAGGAAATTAGGCGAGCGACCCGGCGGACGCGCCATTGCGTCGCCTAAGCGGTCGCACCCGGCAGATGTTGCGCGAGAGTGAAAGTCCCCGTGGTCTTTTTCTGGCCCCGGTCAGGAAACGATCCCCCGTTTAATTCCTGCCCGGCGGAACAGATGAAGCGTGGAGGGCCGCGTTTCCGCGACGAGTCCCAGCCGGGTATTTATCAAGCGACTCGGGGCCTCCGTCGCAGGTACGGGCCGCGGGGATAATTTATGCGCCGCGTAATGGCGGAAAAGTGCGTGACAAATCGTGCAAGAAATGACGGAGCGAGGTGGCAAGCGGACAGTAACTCAAATGAATGACCGGTATTAACGATAGATACTTCCTGCATCTCGGCACGGCGTGATTCAATGGAAGAGATGCGACCGAGCCCGGTGAAACACCTGACACACGGCCTGAACACGTTCGAGAACTCCCAACGCTGTTCGACGCGTCTGAAGAGGTTCTTACGGTTCGCGGATTTATCGTTCGTATTGTGTTTCTCTCGAGATTCGTTTCTCGTCGAGAAACTTGAATTCCATTCGCGCATCGTCGTTGTCGGAACTTATCGCGGTAGAAATTTGATTCCCTGGACCAATTCGAACGATCATTGATTCGTTACGAGAATCAGGGATCTACTCTGATCTACGAGATTCCGTAGATTTACTATGAAACGCATCGATTCGGAGCGAGGCGCGATACATTCGAGCCGATACGAACGATTTCAATCTGATTTACTCGAACGAAGGTTCCACGTCGAAGATCGAACGAAACGCGACGCTTTCCCCCAGTGAAACGATTTCAAAGGGGATTTGAAAGTAATGGAAGTCGTTGGCGACGGTCGATTATCGAAAATCGCATCGGAAACGGCTCACGGAAGTCGGCGGCGAGGCTCGATGACAAAAATTTGGACGCTTTCTACGTGGCGCACAGGTGGCCGCGTGTTCCGCCTCGAATCTTATCGGCGCTCGTAGAAAACCGGGCGGAAGGCGACCCGGTAACCCAGTTCCCCGGCCATCGCGCCGGCTAAACGAAAAATCGTTTCTTCATCGCGCGACGCGCGGAGCCTCTTCGATTTTTCTTTTCTCCTTCCGCGTGGCGGCAGGGCCCGTTGTCCGCGCTGAATGCGAAACTCCCGCGGCTCTAATAACGAATTCGTTTCGTCTACTTTCACTGGGATCGGTCCCGTGGAAACGGATTCGTCGCCGACGCGTCTTCGTCGTCCTCGTCGTCGCGCCCGGAGAAAGTTCGCGATTTTGGAAACCGACACGACGCAACGCGTCGGCCAGCCTGAATCACGATCGCCCGCTCTATTCGGTCTTTCTCTCGTTTTCGATTCATCGGGTTGCGCAACCATCGAATTCCGATGACATTTCGAAACTAGTTTCTTCGGCGCCGATCGGTCGTTCGGCGACGGTAACGTGGGTACACTTCGCCAGCGCGCGAAGAATCGTTGAAACATTTTTCCTTCTGGGTTCACGACGTTCTCGAGCTATCAATGAACGGATAGTAAACGTTTCTTCATTTACCTATTGTTATTAAGCGTGGACAGTGGAAGGAACCGGTCTTCGTCCAGACTGATAACGATAAGGAAGTTGTGTATCACGACGGTTGAACCATATTGGCGTCGACTTCTAGTCGTTCGAGCAACGCAACGGCTTTACTAGCGTGTCGATTGGAGATTCTAGCTTCTCATAACTATCAATAGATTCTTCCACGACGGTTCCTCTTTCCGCTGAAATACACACTGGCGCGAGACGTTTCGTATGGAACGTCGCGCCGATGCGGTTCGAAGTCGACAGCAATCGTGTAAATTGTACGAGTACCATGCAGATCGCGGAGGATACTATAGTTCGTGTTATTAGAAACTTCTACGGGCGTATAAAGTATTCTCTTTAGCTGGTGGTCCACGGTGTAACGCGGACGGAAACTTCCGCGGTGCAATTACAACGAGTTCAAGGAACGAGGCGACCTCCGCGCGGCCGTACGAAAAGCCAAATAGACGAGTCGAGCGTCGGGAATCGTTTTCCACGGTCGAACGGTGCTCGGAGGATCCAGCCGCCGCGGTACGAGCCGAGAAAAAGGGTTAGACGAGAGATCTCTGCCGTCAGATTGAAACTTCAAAGTCGCTCGCGTCCGCGCGACTCCTCTTTGGGCGTGACTTCCCCGCCGCGAAACACGTTTTTAACGGACGACTGACCCATATAACGTAAACGAATAAATTTCGAGAAGAAGGGAAAAAAAAGAGAGACAAGCCGGCCAGATATTCTCTCTCCGGGATCACGGCGAGCAGCCGACTCGGCGTTAACTATACGCGCGCGCCCGATGCGCGAGAGAAACGGAGAGGAAGAGAGAGATTGTATTGGGCACCTGTTACAGTGGAAGGAATACCGTTAGGACGTCGTGTCAGCGGCAGGTACCAGCCTACAGGTACACACGTATATCCTGGCCGGCTCCACGACTGTACCGGCGAGCAAAAATCGGGCCGCTTTGACACCGGGGGCCCGATGTCGATCTACGCTACCGGAATTTCAGCTCGGCCGCGGGGATACGTTGCGCTAATTTACTGTCTGCTCGCCGCAGCTATCAGACGGACAGCTGGCGGGATGATGTATCGAGGATCGAAACCTCGGAGCTCCTTTCTCGAGCTTCGAAGCCCGTCTGCTTTCGTCCGTAGACGGGAAGAAAGAGATTAGAGAGAAATGATTCGCGCTTACTAGAGTTTCCGTGGATGAGACATAATCATTTATCGTGGTAAAAGTTTCCAGCTTGGTCTACCAGAAATCGCTGCTATTTATTACGTCGATCAAAGTGCCATTTTGCGATTATCAACGGTGCACCTTCAGAGTGAACGTAAACTAGGCGTAAACGGAGGATTCCTTCGCGTTCCCGTGAATTATCGGTAGCGATGCAAAGTAGGCGGGTAACGATCGCGAGGAGAATCGTGTGGAGAGGAGTGAAATGTGATTAGAATGTGGAAACCGTTTAGATCGTGCCTAATAAGCTGCTAATGTGGAAGGCCGATAACGCTAGGCAGCGAGCGTCGGAAATTTAGTTGCCGGACGTTTAATAATTCGCGTGGTTTAACAGAATTATCGAGCGCGGATCTAGGAAGCTCACGGGAGAGGGTCGAAGGGGACGGAGAGGCTGCGTGCGTCCGTTGAGAGGTCGCGGTGGATCTTAACGCGCCGCGCGAGTTATGGGTGAAAATCTGCCGGCCGCTTAGACTCGCCGCATGCGGCCGCGCAGGTTCAACGACTGTTTCTTTATCTGATGCAATTAAACCGGCGAGTGGATTAAGAGTCGTTCAGCGGATTTACGACGTTAACGCGAGTCAACGACGAGCCGCATGCGCGCGCGTGAGCGCGGGCTCCGGTGTGTTTTCTAGTCAAACGTGCCACTGACCGACTAAAGCCGCTTTTCTCCGGCCGAGGAAACCAAAACATTCGTCACCGCGCGTTTTCGTATTCGCCGGCACCGTTTTTCTTGGTCTCCTCTAGCTCTAGGCATCGTGAATTCGATATTATCCGGCGCGGCGCGCGCCGCCGGCGACCGCGGCCGCCATTTTGTCGGAACCATTAACCTCGAAGTCGGCGACGAAAGTTCGGAATACTGGAACGGGGCAGGGGCTAATTTGAATATCAATATCCGTTGCGGTAACAGCGATGCTAGTCATTTGAATAATAATGTCCCCGAAGAAAGTTCTTCGATTGTGAACCCGTGCAGTCCAGGGTCTCTCGTTCATTCCAATGTCGCTTGATAAGTGAAAACGGCCCGCGGAATACATTCCAGTCCTTTCTAAATCATATCTAAGCCTCGGAAACAAGAAATCCACTGGAAACTTGGCTGGGGAGCTTCGAGAGTGGGAATCCGTTCAAGATTTTGCGTGAAATGCAAATTCACGAGAGAAAACTGTCCTACATTGTTTACCTCGCCGCGATGAGACGTGTTTCGAACGTGGTTCGTCTCGGACGAATGTTTCTATACGAGATTCTTCAATTTCACTGCGAAAGAATATATGTTTACGTATGGTGTCGATCTGAAATCTGGGTTGCGAAAGGGGAAAAACTACGGGGAACGGCAATTTCCGACGAAAATAGACGCACGTCTGAATAAAACGGCCGCAAGAAGTCTAGCAGAAACGAGTCTGGATGGCTCTGAACGCACGAGTTCCCCTGAAACGTGGAACACCTCGAGGAAAGTGTCCAATTGCAACGGTCCGCCGGCTCCAAGCGCGCCGCAACAAAACCATAAGCCGGAATGACGTTATATCACTGCTGGGCAACCCTGAAGTCCAACAATGACGACGCGCGGGCTTGCTCTTCTCTTATTTTATCCGTTTCGGCTCGTATCGCGCCCATTGCTGAACCGTTGCGGACGAAATCATCTTAACGTTTACCGTTTCTAAACTGAGCTCCTCGTAAACCGTAGAACAGGTTCTAAACAGTAAATAATCATTAAACGGCGATGATTCTTGATTTCTATAACTCGACACTAGAGAAACTAAGAAGAAAAGAAAGACAGCGAGGAAGCCAAAAGATAATACGTCGCTGAGGGAGATGCGAGGAGATTCCACTTGGGTTTACAGAGATTTATTATTTATTCTACTGTTCCAGGAACCATTCATGTTCGCTCGTTTAGATCTTGGATCTAAATAATTTAATTATTTACCAGCTAATGTTAACACGTTCACTCGATCGCCGGTGACCTAAGCTTCCAATGAGTACTGCAATACTAAATTATTAATAATTAAAGGTCGAAATTCCCGTGACAGTGAACGCATTAATAAAATTTCATATTCCCGTGAGACCGACGCGTTCCCCGAGCCCATCTTTTTCGAATCTCGCGCACATATTAGATTTTCGATCGCAGTCCGCGACAAAAGGACGGTTGCCCGGCGCTGCTGTTATATCATTCGTCTTTCGCCGGGCACGGAAGAACCCGTTCCGCAACAGGTGTCTCGGGGACACGATGCACCGCGGCGATCACGATTTCCACGTTCGTATCTCCATATAAGCGGCGCTTCTCCGGCATCCTCGTCCTCCTCCTCCGCCTCGTGTTCCGCCGCCTCCACCACCTCCGCCGCGTAGACCCGCCGCGATCTGGCACACTTTGCCCGCTCGCGATTCGCGTATGTATCGGTGCCACGCGCCGGCGATACGTCGCGTGAAACTATCCCCGAGCTTCCCAGATTCCGTGCGGCGATTAGCCGATTAATTTATCGCCTCGTTGCTCGGGCAACCGCGCCGGCACCGGCTCGCCGACTTCCTGCTCGCAGATGGTCCTCGCGTATCACCCGCGATCCCGATCGCGATCGCGTGAATTTCCATGGTAATTTTTCCGGAACGAGCTCGGAGATCCGCGACGCTTATCCGCTGGAATGTTGTAAATAAATTCAAGACGGTCCGACGAAGCCGACGGCGGTCGAACCATTCTCTTTGACCGATTTCTCGAATCGTCGAGCACTCGTCGGTCCACCGCCCGGAGATTACTTTATCTCTCCGCGGAGATAATTACGAATCAGCGGCTGAATTTAACATCCCGAAGCTTCGAGTCATCCGGACGATTATGAAGCTGCTCTCCGACGCGGACGCCGTGGATTCCACAGCTCGGCGAGCTGTTGATAGATACGTCTATCTCGGAACACGGCGTTCGGATACAGCCCCAGCGATCGAAATGGCGAAGCAAATCAACACGATCGATCTTCTGTCAGCTGAGAACACTTTCCACTCGATTAAATACCGAATTCAGCGATCTTATCCTCCGCTGAAAATCAATCGAGTCCTCTTACCCCGTGACCGAACGCGCGCCGCCGGTAATGCCAACCTCCGTGCCCCGCGCGGCGGCGGCGGCGGCGGCGGCGGCGGCCGAGGAGGTTGCATTACCCGCGGCGATGATATTAAGAAGATCCCAGGCTCTTTGCCTTTTAACTTTTACCTAGCGCGGCAACGGCATTCCGTCCCACCACTCGCGCAGGCTCCGACGTTCACGTTCTCGATTATTGCGCAAAGGAGCTCTCGAAAGGCGCATTTCCATGCGGGACCGCTCTCGCGCGATCATGAGCGCGTTGCCTCCCGTTACGAGAGACAATTGCCGCGATGATTGATCGGTGCGCGACGCTTTCGAGCGTAATATGTGGGACGTCTAAGATATTACAGGCAACCCGGTACGTTCAAATATTAATTAGTCACTGGCGAAGAATGTCGGCTTCGTCGGGAAACGTTGAGTATTTCCAATGAACACCTTCGAAGCGAGTTCCACAGCGAACGCCAACTAGTCTTTGGATAATAAAAGGTTCAATCTGTACTTAAGGCTACTGGAATACAGACTCGAACGATAACGACGCGTAGGCGTCGCCGGACACACGAATTCGCGCGCAAAATCGACCTCGCGGAGGTCACGCGGGTAGCTAAGTTCCGCATTCTCGGCCCACAGCCCGAGGCTCGTCCCAGCCGCCACTCTTTCTTCGGGTTTCCAGCTTCGCCTCGAACCTCGCCGCGCCGCGGCGCGGTCTCTTCCGCGGCGGACTCTCCTGTTGCCCGATAAAAGAGAAACCGCGGGCTGTTACCTTGGCGACTCCGTCTGCTTTATTTTGCCCGCTCGCGACTGCGGTCCGGCCGGCTCGGCTTGCGGACGGGACCGATGGCTCGATCGGGCCTAGCGGTGCTCATTGTTCCAATGAACATCTTGTAACTCGAGAATACCGTCGCGTAAGTGCCGGAGACCTTGGTTCCCCGACGCTTTAGCGACTGAAACTTGAAGAAGTCTTCGGTTTCGACTGGAATGAGTCGGGTGCTAACACTTTTCTCTACGAGTGCCACTCGTAGAGACTTCTAGCTCGGTTCAGCAGAAATCAACGTTGTTCATTGCATGTGGAGAATAATCAGTTTTACTATCAAAGTACGACAAATGTGAAATTCCTTTGCATTCTCGGGAACGATTGGTAGCAAAATTATCGACAGTTCGGTAAGAGATTTTGCAGACGTGTCAGACGGAGAAGAAAGGAAATTCATAGAATTCCGTGAGCGTCGATCGCGTTCGTGCATCGTTGCCCGTTCGAATCGGTGGGTCCGAGCCGCGGCGACGCGGGTTTCGCCGAAAACGGCAGAGATAATGGGCCCGATACGTTTCAGACGACGACTGGGGCGCGCCGACGGAGGAGAACGACTATCTCCCCGAGGCAGAGACAACGGCGACGAGTTTAACGCTGCCCCGGCTACCGAGAAGCCCGGAAAGACTGACCGGCCAGGTGAACAGAGGCGTTTCGCCGGGCTGCAACAGGAGCCGCAGGGCACCGGAATTCAGGCAACGATCGCCGAGCCCCCAATACCAGCCCAGAGTGAGTCCCGGCGAGGTGACCAGTCCCAGGGAGAGATTTCAGGATGCCAAGGAGATGTTCCGAGCCATGGAGAGAGAGGCGATCGGCAGGCCTGTCCTTTCCAGGCAGAGAGAAGTTGAAAGTCATCCCGTTCACAGGTAACCACGCGAATCTTTCTCTCCGCCGCGCCGTTTACCTTCGCTCGCACCCTGTTTTCGTTTCGTTCTATTGGAAAAATCGGCTGGTAACTCTCCGCCTAAATATTACCGGTATCTTCCTTCCTAACGCGCCGACCGCTATGAGAATCTTGAACATTCCTCGCTTATTCTCTCGCAGCAAAGAATTCGAAGCACTCATTCCACACCTTGTGTTATACTATCGTCGAGAGTTGAAACAATCGAGAGATATAACGTGTCTATCGATGAAACTCAGACGTGATTTCACACAACTCGCGACCGAAGTCTCCTTTCTGTCTGCTTCCGCGTTTGCGTTCTTTCGCGTTCGTCTGTTTCTCGATTTCCTGTCGCTGTCGATCGACTGGCGAGTTAGGTCGACACTCTACATTATTATCTGGTTACCATTCGATTTTTTGGTCGATTTAATGGAAATCTATGTTATCGTCGGTCATAAATCAAGGACTACCTTGCTGTCCCCGACGTTTCTTCAACGTAATCTCGCGAATACTCGCGCGCATCCCGTGCGTTGCGCCTCCAAATTTCCTGTAAATGCATAGAAATCCGCGGCGCAGCGATGACACAGCGGGAAGGAGAAGATGTATCGATTCGTGTCGCTGCAACGCTGGAACGGCCTGCAGCTGTTCGCGTTTCAACTAGAACAGGAAAGAGGCAGTTAATAGTGGAATCGATTTTGACGGAACGAATGGAAATCGGCGAAAAACGCCGGGAAACTGTTACGCTCCCGACCGGAGGCGATTTCGTGTCGCGCCCCAATGTCGCAAGAAAGTCCCCGAGACCTTAGCCGCTCCGGCCAGATTCGTTTTCTAATCGAGAAAAAGCGGATTCCCGTGAATGAAACGCGCGGTTCCACTTAATTTTCTCCCGTGCCGCCGCCGCGACCAGATCGACTAGTTTTAAACGGCCGCGTATTATACCCGCGCGCGGTTTTTCTGGCCGCGCGGCGGCGTTCGTTTTGGGCCAGCAATCACCGATGTCATTCCCGGGTAAAAGCTGTCTCGTCGCGTCGGGAACAGCCGTCGCGGGTTTCTATTTTGCAAACGAGCCAATAACGCGCGCTTGATTTACTGCCGCCATTACCGGAAGGGGCGAAAAAACGAGTACCGTTTCCCGAGTGCATTCCGCGCGACCGGTAATTGAGCAATTACAACAATATTAATATTAGAAGCCGCGGAACAGATCAGAAGAAGAGTTGTAAACGCTTCGCAAAAATTGCCGCGCGGTCGAGAGCGAAATCGTCGGTTAACCCGTCACGTATCTGGAATGAGAGGTTCCGATCGAAGAACTTCATTACGCGAACGACGCCGGATACGTTTTCTTATTTTCTGTTATTCAACCCTTCGCACTCGAGCGGCTTTAACGCGTCGATACTTGAAATATCGCGGGCCTTTAAAAAACTTTCGAGTACTTCAGAGTTAACAGTTCGATATTCACTATTTTTATATAGAACATTCGACGCACAGCTCGACGAATTAACAAACAACAGCGAGGTACTTGCGTCGATTAATTTGATTTTTCTGGTGCGTTAGGGTCGAGTCCGCCAGGCAGGCCCACGAGGATCAGCCGAGCCGGCATCATCCGCTCGGCAATAGTTCAACGACTGGTCACGAACACCTGATCAGACGGAATCATTCGGAAGTATTGGAACGGGAGAACGATATCCCTTACCGAGGCAGGCCGCGGCCGCGAACCCATCATTATGCGATGGAACGCCCACCGGAGCAAGAGGTCTCGAAGCCACGGCCGAGAAGCTTCTACGAAAACCCGTCGGTTGGACGGGACTTCCGAGATCAAAGGAACGTCGTCGATCCGAGAGAAGTAAGGGTCATTGATTCCTCACCGAGCTGTTCTGCTTCGCGAGCGTTCTTCAAGGTCTCTCCACTTCGGGAGAGGAGAATCGACGGAGCGAGCCTTTTGTCCGGATTAGCGCAACCATTCCGCCACGGATTAGCGTCGCTCCTATGCTCCACATCCTTTTCCTTATTCCGTCTGCTGTCTCGTTAATGTACACGATGTTTGCGAGCTCGCGTCGCGATCGGGAGAGGATTTCTGCGGGAAAAATCAAGCAGAAACGACTATGGATCATCGCGTTGAAAAATTTGTGTCTTTTAACCGAAGGAAATCGGAAGTAAGGAACACGCTGTGTATTAGCTGTGCCATTCCTTGTTTCCTAACCGTCCGAATCGCGTAGAAATTTCTCCTGTAACAGATTCGATTCCGATTTCATTATAACGAGACCGTCCTAACTTTATTATCGATATCAGCGCTCGCAGTAAGCCTGCAATCTTTTATCTATAATCAATCCGATGTTTATGCGATCGCAGAATGTTATGGGCGGTTTTCTACAAACTGTAATCAACCGGGACTTGATTAATCCATTACAGATGCGATTAACTCCGAACCGAGAGCGACTCGCCGTATTTAACTTCATTAAGCTTTTTACCGTGAGCATGAGTACCGTGGCTTTTTACTGAGCGGCATTTTACCATTGTCCTTCCGGCGAATTACCGGCGATAAGCTGTCCCCGATGATTAGGCGATGTGAACAGTAGTTATCGGGAACGTGTCAAAAGAAAGGGATGTTCGGGGATATTCTCGGAATGCGGCGAGTTTCTGCACACTGTTGCTCGAACGCGAGAAACGTCTGCTCTCCCGGCGTAATGCTAATCATCGGTTTCCTCGATGAGGCGTGGGGAGTGTCAGGGGAGCCTTTCGTTGACTTTTGCTGCTCTGTTGTTTGCCTGCGAATTCCTTGGCATTCACCGGCGCTTTCGATAACGAATGTTCAAGGTGTTAGCAAGTTGCACAGCGCAGCCGCGGAGAGAGTGAACGTTCTCCGCGAGGATTTTACTCGCGTATTTAGGCAACTCTGCTTTCTCATAATTCGGTCGAAGGACAGTGAATCCGAGAGATCAAAAGAATACTTAAACAATCAATCCGCATCGAAATGAAAGCAACTGGATTGCCAGGTGTAACGACAGCAATAATTCCTGCCTTCGGTAGCAAATAATTCACTCGAAGTCTAAAAATTGCGACCGAATCTCAGGCGAAGATCGAAAGCCGCGTGTCCGATATTTCTCTCGGATTGGCTCGAATGGCGAGCGAGAGAAAAAAGGAGAAAATAGGGATACGTAATGGTGATTCCGCGGTAACGCGTGACAAGAGAAATCCAACATTTTCGTTTCACGCTCCTTTCCTCGCGTCTTCGCCTGTTCAAAGGTGAAGAGTCACGTTACGGTCTTTACCGTGCTTCTTCGCACCCTGTACAACGAGAACTCACGTGCAACCGCTTTCTGTCTACAGTTACGGGACTTCCGGGACCGCGCGCACGTGCGGGAAATACGAGAGAAGGTGCGCGCCAGGGCGACGACGTACCAAGAGCTCTCGGAGCACGAGAGATATCCTGGCCTGGATCGTGACAGCGCTAGACCGCCCCTGGAGATCGTGCCCACCCCCGGGAGATACCGCCACAGCTACGCCGAGCCCCCGAGACTCGGCCTAGCGGCGCTGCACCCCTACTGAGCGCCGCCCCGCCCGTTGTTAACTAATAAATTATTTAATTAATCGATTAGAGCTCCGCCGAGCGGAGTTGACGTTTGTAACGCGCGTGCTCGAGGCGAAAGAGAGAAGTGGGCGGAGCCTGGCGCCGCCCTCTGCTGCGGAGAGGCTCCCATTGGTCCACGATCGAGGTGAATGCTCTCCTTATCCTGTGAAAACATTGTTTTCGGGAGGACACGTCGACTGCGGCAATTGGGTCGCGATTACGCGGTTGATGGAACTTTCTCGAACACGGTTTCACATCCCGCCACTTCTCTCTGGCCACGCCCAGCGATTCTCATTGGCCGACACTCGCCAGTTCCCGCTGGCTCCTCCCACAAGTGTCAAGTTCGCTCGGTGAATCTGCGAGTACTCGTTATCGTACTATTTCACCGTCTCGATTAGACTATGCAGCGTTCCGATGGAATCAAACTAAGTTTCTGTTATAAATGTATTGTTTTCTACTTACGACGGCATCATGTGTAGGCTGTTAATCGCGGGCGAAGCTCCTCTTTCGATGGAAGAGGTACTTTTAGCTGTTTTTCGGTGGAAAGGTAACTGGAACTGCGAACGACGAACGGCGCTCCCATATAAAAATGTGAGATTAATGAACACGTTTGTCAATGAGAAATCGGAGCAACGCGAGGGTCTGGTTACCTTCTCCAATTAGAATAAATTACCACGGCCATCGATAATCACCGGGGAACTCCGTCGCGCGTTAACCGACGCGCCGAACGCTGCGCCCAGTCAGGAGACGCGTATGGAGATTAAAAATTTATTATTCATCTTGTACTTGCGTGTCTCGTTGCATCGTGGACCGAGATCCCCGGGACCGGGGATCGCTTGTTGACTTTTGAACGCGACTACGTGCACTATATTGTTATGCGCCGGATGCCAGACTAACGATAACGATAGGAATAATAAGCAGCAGTAACACTGACAGTAACAGTAACAATAATAACGGTTAATAACAATAAACAGTTGGTCGTTCATTTCTGTCCAACCCATTCGTTCGTCCTCCGTTCGAGAATAGCATCGGACATCGAACGCGACGCGCATCGATTCGTTTTACAAGTTCTGGAAACATACCGTGGGCCTTGTTCGATTTCTCGGTGTGCCCACTTTCGAAAAATCGGCCGGCCAATTTACAAATTCGCGGCACGAAGGGAAGCAATGCTCTCTAAACATGCGTGTTGTGTAAACCTCGCAGGGCCGTGCAATAAATGTTTCATGGAGCCGCAGACGCATCTCAAGGCGCATTATACAGTTGCACTCCGGCGTATCTTATTTCCCTTTGTCTCCTCACGGTCTCTGTTACGTTCTCCCCGGTATTGTTCCCGACCGGACGATCGTACGAATAAATTTCGTTCGTTTTTACTGCGCCCGATCGTCCTGTTGCCCGAGGGAAAATAAAAGATCCCGGAACGGGGATCGACGTCCGTCACAAAGTATGCGCAATTTTCCAGTTCGACGCTTCGGTTGCCGCGCGCGGTCTATTTTCGGAACGCGTGCGCCATTGTAGTAACACCTAGCGGTTTTATTAGAATTTACGCTCTGAAAAAAGACGCCAGCCTAAAGCGTTCCGCGATTAATTATTCCCGCGGTTGTTTTTTTCCCAGCGCGGCCCGACAGATTGGAAAATTGAAAACGTTCGTTCCTCGGGCAGGCTCGTTACCGAAGCGTTTCTCTTAACGACTTTCCCGATTAATTGAATCTCAACGGACGTTGAATAGTTTAATAAACTCTTAACGACAGCTTGCAAATCTGAAAGTATCGAGCGTGCTCGGCATCGAATACCTTTAGCCGATAAAATATCCGCAAATATGTAATCCATTGATCGGGGTGAACTAAACTGCTCGTCGTTTATACTCCGTGGCATTTATTAACGATATCCTATTTCTCTATTAATACGCTGACATTAATGCCGTCTATAGCCGTCCAATGCTCGCGCATGTAGGCGCAAGTGACGGCAATGGCCGTTCATATTTTTAGTACTATAAATAAAGAAACATAATAATTTTATTCTGAAAGTATGAAATCTCGATCGAACTCCTCAAGAATCAACTAACTAACAAAAACAAAAGAATTGCTTTTATTGTTCGTCATCGATTTCAAAGCGAGCGTCAAAGTGTTAACTTACGCGCGGCAATTCGATCGAAATGCGCTCGCGATCAGTGTACAGGCAAAAATTTCGCGTTCCAGGGTCATTGATCAGTTTCGTCGGATAAGAAATGCCTTCCGGTTGAAGCGCGATTCCAATTCATTAGCATCGTTTCAACCGGGCACGAAAATTTCTGCGTGATAAGGCGCCGGCACACGTCGGGACGGATCACGTACGGCAGCTCGTTAAATTGCTTTCATGGTTAACGGAGCAGGAAGTGGCCGGTTTGCATTGTTTCTCCGTGTGTATCTATAGTTGTTGCGCGAATAACAAATGAATAGAAAGTCTTTCGTGCCGCGCGGCGGCAAATAAATCTGCCGGGTCTTCTCTTTTTTCTTTTCATTCTTCAAATCGCGTGTCTCGATTCGTTGCCGTTCGCCGCCGCGCCGAGAGAAATTAAAAGCGGAATCGTCATCCTCCTTTTTCTGCGCCGCGAAACAACCGGCCGACGTTCGATGATCGATGCTGTTATTTACAACGTGATTTCTTGCATTTTCGAAATCAACGATTAATAGACACGGCCCATAAAAGCTTCACGGGACTCAAACAACTTTTTTCGAACGAGAATTAACCACTTCTCAACGTTCTCGATGTTTTTAGAATTTTTGCTCGTGCGTACCGTCGAATACGTGGTTGGTTAAATTGACTTGTTGAGATAAAAACGGCTGCGATATACATATATACAGTGACGTTCTAAAGTTCCCAGATCGTTTTTGGATTGTTTAGGACGAGTTTCAAGGAAGTTTTGTTGATATAATAAATCAGGACATATTTACATGGATCAATATAAAAAGAACCCAACTATTTTGTTAAAAAAATTAATTTATTCATTGATAATTTCAATAATCTCAAACATTTTTTAAATTTCATCGGCGGATGCTCAAGAACGTAAATTACAGCGTGAACGCGTTAACGATCTCCGCGAGTACTGGAAAATATCGGGAGACCACAGGCAATTTCCGTGGCCGAAAGCGACAGGCTGGATCACAGTGGTCGCGTTGGCAGCAACAATATCAATTTCCCTCGATTTCTAACGCGCCCCGGCCTGCCCTGCGGTTTTCCTCGTTTCTCGGGGACGATGGAATTTCGCAAGCGTCCACCCCGGCGTTGCATAACCCGCCTCGAGGCTGATGATCGTTTTCCTACCTCGAAAACGCTCGGAATCGCTCGGGGACGCACGCAACTTCTTTCGAACGGCAGCGCGGAGCACGAAAGATCGGAGGAAGTAGTCGGTGCTCCCTTGTTCAGCGGTGGCAAAGCCTGTAATCGCCTAGAACGTTGCTTCATTCTTGCGTCGAGCGGCTGCGACCGTTAGAGCGGCGACGCGACGCGGGGAACGGTGCCGCGACTCGGCTCCGCTTGTCGCGTGCAATGAAATTCGCACGAACGCGGACTGCAATGCAATTCAGAAATTTGATTACCGTTGCGGGGATCCGTGGCAACGCGTCTCGAGCGACGAGCTGGCTCGAGGAACGCGCTGGAAGGGGCAAATCGTGGAAAAAATTCAGTTAACGCATTCGCGGCCGCGTGCGATTTCTGAGAAGCTTGAATATCGCGAGAGTCTGCTGTTCAGGTGTGTAGGAATATGAAAAGTACATGATAGATCTACGTAATCGATAAATAACTATGAAGTTTGAAATAACGTGGGTTTCAGCAATCGGCATTCTAGAAAATGTAACATAGAGTAGAACTACGTTATTCGTCATTGCTGAAGAAATTTAGACGAACGTTTGGGTACCTATACATAGAGGATAATCTTGAAAAGATGAAAGTTTTCTTTGTGAAGGAAATAAAGTTCAACTTCCTCCAGGAACGACAGGAAGTTTCGCCTCAGAAAAAGCATCGATTTCTATAGCTCGCTGCATCCAACGGCGTCGTATTCGAGCCGTGAGAGAAACAGATTTACGGATTAAAGAAGTAACCCGAGCGAGTTCGTGTCGGTAGACCCGTACGGGAGCAAAGTGGATCCCCTTCTACCATAAAGGGACTTGGTGCTGCGAACCTGCTCGCTTCTCTCGATGGCAGTGACCTGTTATAGAGGGTCTCACGGGCCGCGTTTGCCTTTATGCTCACGTGCTGTGTTCCTCGGTTAAATGCCAGCCATTGTGCGGTTAGGAAATTCGCGTCTCGATACGATTCAGCGTTACGCAAACCCGGCTCACGTGAAAATCCATGGGAGAATTAGCCTGCGCCTGCGTTTCGCCGATCCGCGAAAATATACCGGCTGCAGAAATGATTTATTTATTCGTTCATTCGACGGAAGCTTCCGGGCTACTGCCCTACATCGCGAAAGAATGGAATCGTGGAATAAATACGTCGATCGGGAAATAAGTATAAAAGAGGAAAGAAATGGAAACACGAAAGATCCATTAAAGCGTAGTCTGGGAATCGTGTAACCAATTATTTTATAATGCCTTAATAAAGTGAAACTTGAATCTTTCACATTTAAATTCCGGAGGATTGTTTCTTCGATCGAATTGTTTGAAATTGATGTGTATCGTGGCTCTGATGGATGACGCAGGTTTTTATAAAAAAACGAGTAGCGTTGAAGAAAATTGAGAGATCGATTGGAAAAGACCGAAAAAGGAACTGCAACAGCTACTCGTTGCACGAAGCTCTTGCTCGGATTCGGTCGGAACTGCACGTCATTCAGACCTGCTTTCGCATGGGTTCCGCGCGTTGTCGCCGTGGCCGCCATCAATAGGCACGTCGATGTTTTATACTGCAGGCTACGACCCGCTGCCTATCTAGAGGCAGAGCTACGTGACGGAAAAGCGGATACTTCGTGTCGGAAGTTCCGTTGCTCCCGATGTGCGTACGAGAAAGAATTTTTCTAGTTTCACCTCCGGCACTCACCGCCGCTTATGAATATATTCCCCGTCTCGATGCTTGCCCGCTAATTATAAATCTCAGCATTCCGTGAATGCCTCCAGTGACTTTAGAAAGTATTCGAATGTCGAAAATATGCACGCCGGAGTCGTTAGAAACCACGGCGGGCTCCAGAACCCGCACAAAAGATCGTTTTCCTTTTCTTTGAATAATTCCCGCGTAATATTTCGCAAACCCCGATAAGAAAACTGAAATCGCTCGATAAAACGGAACATTGCGAGAGTTCAACGCGGTTCGCGATTTCCTGTAATTAATCAGAGGAACGCGCACGTAGATTTTTTTACTGTGAGAAAGGGAGCTTCGATTCACAGGCGACTTTGTAACCGTTAATCGAGCCTTGACTTCCTATTAATTTTAATTGATGTTAACAGGGGAACGGAGCTCGACGCTGAAGATGCAGCGCGGTTCATAATTCCCAACGATTAATCGTCGAAAACATTCCCGTGCAACGGTTCCAAGGGAACCCCGAGGCAACTTTGTAAACGTTGATTCAAGTGTTGCATTCCAATTAATTTTAATTGATGCAAACAAGGGAACGGGGCTCAGCGTTTGATGGATTCAATACGGTCCGCGCGATTCAGCTGCAATTAATCGCCGAGGCGCGTACGACCGATCGCGCTGGTTCGCAGCACCGCGGGGAATCTCGGGTCTCGGGCGACTTAGTAAATGTTAATTGAGTCTTGATTACCGAAAGGAATATCTGATTGACTAACACCCGTTAGATCGGCGGAACGAGGGACGCCGAGGCGACCGCATTAGTAAAAGTGAACCGCTACACCGGCAGCGGGCCGCATCTCTTTCCCTGACGCTGCCGTCTCCCGTTATTCTAATCGGCCGGCCCGGAGACTTCAATGCGCGCATGTGCCGCGAGAGACACGTCCCGTGCGGCCGCGCGCATTGA